ACTTTCTTATAACAAAAGTTTTTATCTATGTACGAGGCCACACCACCTCCCATCTTATTCTTTCTGTTTGTGCATACCAAGTCATAGCCATCAAGGTCAAAATCCATTCCCCTTACATTATTCATCCAAGTTTCAGAAATAGCAATTATATTAAAAGAATGTGTAAGACTACTAAGATAATGTTTTATACTCTGAAAATTTGCGTATAAACTTCTGCTATTAAAGTGAATTAATGATAATTTGTTTTCAGTCTTAACATTGCTGTTAAACTGCTCATCCATGTAATACTTGCAGTTATTTTCAGAGTTCTTAAAAAAGTTTTTTCAGGGTCAAAGTCATCGTCCGATTCATGATAATGTTGTTCAGTGTCTCAAATTGTGTTCAGTTCCAGATCCAGTCCCTCAAAAACTATTAACCTCTGTAGCAAATCACTTGCCTCATTCCGTACGTGGGTCATACTTGTTGTTGGTTCCTGCTAATTGTTGTTTCCAACGCTCATCTGTCCTTGCGGATATCAATACACCTGCATGTTTCTTCATACAGCTGAGGGTCCAGCGACCCCTTCATACTCTCCTTGTCTCAGCATACTGGTCCTCAGCGTGCTGGTCATAGGTCCTGGATTCTGGTTCTGAGGACAGGTCACTAGTCGGTCATACCGCAGGAACGCGATGTCTCCCCTCGCCCCGGCCTCCCTTAACATCGGCATCAATTCCCTTCTTCTCTTCCTCACAGACTCGGTGTAATCTTCATTTATATAAATATTAGATCCTTTAAGCTTCTTTGTGTGAAATATTGAAGTATTTGGGTTGCTATATAGCTAAAGCACTAACATAGTTTGGAAATTGTTACTTTAATAAGACACTGCATTATGAGACAAAAGTATAACCTTCACATAGTTGTAGTGTGTGTGAATTCACTTCATTATAAGATGCACTTGTAAGGAGTTGTGCTTAGCACAGCCCTGTTCCAAGGGAGTCATCAAGGAAATTAAATGATCACACAGGTAGAATATCCAGTTGTCTGCAACACTCCACTATTTTTCATTAAATGCACTTAAAAGGATAAGTTTTAATAATATAATCTTCACAATCTCACAGAATGCTCATTAAATCATTGTGTGTGTGCTTTTCTTATCACAAGAATGTAACTTTGGTTTCAGGGAGGTACAGCTGTGTATTATGAGAAAGTATGGAAGCAAAACGGCCTCATAAAGATTTGAATCTATATCAGCATCTGAATAATAGGTTTTGAAATAATAAACTTTGAATTCTATATTCTGAATGAATGCACTCTGAATTCTGCCAGGAATCACCATGACATCCTCTGTACCAAAGAATACTAGTGTCTTGAGGTCACAGCTCATGTTATACGTTGACCCTTTTTTATCTTTAACAGTTCTCCAGGCCTGAAGAAGTCTGGCCCACTTGACTCCAAAATCCTGCTCGGTCGGACTCACTCCTCTTGGGGTGGAGGTGGGCTCGGCAGTGGGGCTCACCTCCGTGGTCACCACCCTGGCCACCCATTCATCCAGGACCCGGCCATGCCACCCCTGCCCCCGCCCAACACCCTGGCACAGCTAGAAGAGGCCTGCCGCAGACTAGAAGAGGTCTCCAAGCCGCCAAAACAGAGGTAGGCAAAATCGGTCATCATTAGGACACACATTACACGTTAAACTATAATAATCAGTCACACATTACCTGTCTACCTATTTTCTACTTCTGCTTCAGCACATCAGAATACATTGTAAATGATGCTCAGTGGTTTGTCCTCATACTGGTGTTTGTACTTACTAGTCACTGATATCTGTGATATTGACAGACATTCAACAGCAGCCGGCAGCCTCCAGAGAGACAGGAGTTATCCAGCAGCTGCCTTCCCCATTGCAGGTAGCCCTCTGACCAGCCCTGGACTCCAGGCAGACGAGTATGACTCTCTTCATTTATGTCTCTTTTCATTTGAATTTATACCACAGATCTGTCTTTGTTTCAAAGCTCATTTTTTAAAACGTATTTCTCAGTTTCTTTCAGTCTTTCTAGCTTCTCAGCTTACATTCCTCAGACACTTTTTTTGCACATTTCCTCCCTCTCCAAGCTTGTGTTTTCCCTCTTTTCCTCCCAGCTTTTCTTGTTCGTCCCTTCAAAGAGAGATGTTATGAGTCAGCATAGCTATGTCTTTGAACTCCTCTTCTCTCACTGTTTAGTCATTTAAGATTAAACATGCCTTAATTTGGAATCCTAACTACCCACACTCACCACTGGAACCCAACAAAGATGTGATAAGTAGCCTCTAGTAACTCAGCCACCTTCATACATTTGTTGTTGAAAGGACAACGGCTGCCACCTGTCTGTTTGCATCTCTAATTAATAACACTCCAAAAACTCTTTGTCTACATACAGCTGTCTTACTTCTTTTCCTATGAGTGCAGCTGTTTAAAGCCATCTTTTATTTTGCATTTTCAGGTCTAAGGAGCTTGTGGTCACCTACTTCTTCTGTGGTGAGGAGATTCCTTATCGCAGCATGATGAAGACCCACTGCCTCACCCTCGGACACTTCAAGGAGCAGCTTAGCAAGAAAGGCAACTACCGGTAAATATGATCCACTGATAACAGCGCACCAATACAGATCGAGATAGATATTTGCAGGCAGTCGGTTCTGTCGCAGGGTTAGTTACCTGCATGTTTACGTGTGCATTTGTTATTGTACTTGTATATATGCTGGTCTGTTGAGGGGGAGTGTGAGATACTGGAGCCCAGTAGTTGAAAAGAAACAGGGTCGATCCATTGTATTCAGAGCTTATGGGGAGAGAGAGGGTAGAGGAGGGTGTTCTGGAGCAAACTTTTCTCTCACATCTGGTACTGATTTCCATGGTAAGGCAGCCTTAATAAATATGGCTTTGAAGCCTGAGCCATTTTATTTTGTGCACAAACACCATTGCGAGGCCGACAAATTCCTCCTCCACACTATTGCATCAGCCATTAAAATCAAAGGGTGCAAGTGCTTTCTTCTGTTAATGACTGATAGCAGTTACCATGAGAAAAACGCCTCCTGTCAATGTCAGATGAGGAGATGTTCGTAAACAATGTATGGTCTTGATAGATGATTTAAAATATGATGGTCAGTTTGTTTAAATCAGGAAGCCCACTGTCCAGGAAGTCTAGGCTCGCTTTGTCGAGTAACTGTTCCAGTACTGCGTAGGTTGTATGCTGCTGAAAAGACATGAAGTCCATGACATCAGCATTAGGTTACAGCTGCATCTGCTTGTTAGGCAAGAAAGAGAAGAAGGTCTGCAAACAAGTCATTGCACCCCTGCTATCCTATAAGTCTTCAGTGAGCAAAAGAGAACAGGGAGGTGGGGATGAACTGTTTGGCTTCAATGGCAGTAGAATGTGTGGAGTTGGTTAATTTGGACATGGCAGCGGTACAGCTGAGAACAGTATGCCGCAGCCCAGCCAGATGATATTGGTGCCAGATGTTGCAAAAGAGAAAAATCCTGCCACATGAACCATGTTCCAGGACTCCTGTCTCCCTTGCTGAAACAAAGTGATGACTTTGAAGTATTTGTGAGTGAAAATGTAGCAGTTAAAAAACTATCTAGCCAATTAAATTAAGAAGGTTAATGCATTCATTTGTTTTTTACTAATGGAAGATGAAAAGGCTAAATCCCGTCCAACAAAATTCAGGCATCAGAGGAAAAGTCTCCTGAAGCTGAAATGCTATATCGTTAAACAATAGTCATCGCCTCATCACAGTGCTGCACACGCAAATAGAAAGTCTCACAGCTGTGGTAACACAGCCTCTTCCTTCAGCTGTGTAATTACAATCAACGTGGAAAATAAAACTCTGTGTATATGTTTTTGTACGCCGTTCCTTCCATGTTATTTGAATGACTGTAAGCTGAGCAACTGCTCGTAAAACAGTTTTCCCCCTTTTTTTCTTCTTTTTTTGTATTGTGAATGCAGGCACAACGTGGGCAAAATGAGGCATTTTTCCATTACAAAGCTTATCATTAAATCCCCTCCTGCTGATCTTTTGCTGGGTTTAAAGTAGAGAGGAGAAATCATTAGGAGCTCCAGGAGACTTCATAGTCACTGGGACCAAGCTAACCCTGGGAGTTATCTCTGCTTGAGAGAGGAAGAAGAGTGGGCTTGCTAGGTGACCCGTGACCTCCAGGGGGCTGTCTGAGCAGTTGCCACCTCCCCCTCCCAGGGTAAAGCCCCTCAGGCTCGGCCTGTATCCAACCTATCTCACCCACTCAGGGAAGGCCTCTACTCCACTCCCCCCCGCTTTCTCCTCATTCTGCTCCCCCCTTTTTCCTCTGTTCTCCGCTGGTGACGGAAAAGCTGCCAAAGTGTGTGTCTGTGTCTGTGATGACAAGTGCATGTGAAAGTGCAATTATGCTTCACGCACTGGCCATGGCGCGCGCCTGTTGTGACGTCAGCACAGAGCCAGAACTGTTTATACTCACGTTTGACTCGCTGCAATCTTCTCCTTAACGATAGGTGTCGCTGCTGAGAAAAACACAATCTACACCGCTGGAATAGCAGTACAAGAAGAAATCCACAGAAAATAAGCTAGCCGGCAGATATCGAACCTACAGAACAGCCGAATGAAGCTGAATGAATGATTGTGTGGAAGACTAGTTAGCTTTCTAGCTAGACAGCACACCACACTATAGATGTTTGTATAGGGTTGTACTGAATGTTGCCCCCAGCGCGTCCATTTCCTGTTTGGTGCGCACAGAGTTAAAAAAATTGAGACGTGCGGGACCTGGTGAAAAGACACAATGCACACTGTGTACCAGCATTTGTCGCATCATTTTTGATGCACCACTGGGCACACGGGTGTTAGAGAGAAACATAAGTGTGTGTGTGTGTTTATGTGAAAGCAGCAGTGTGTGCTCTTGCAGTCACAGGCAGACTCTCAGGCACCTGAAATGTCAACCTGTGTGACAGAAAGGTCCGTCATTTGACAGTGAGCCCAGTTAGAATCCACGGAGACACAGAGAGGGCGGGATGCACTGTTGGGGGGATGCTTAAGACAACCTCTAATTAAACCTTCAACTTTAATAAGACTGTGCAGGACAGATAGGCATCTGTAGAATGGCCAGCAATCAAGATGAACAAGTAGATGAGGAGACAAGCACACGTGGGTGAACACACACAAACTGCCTGTTTCTAGCACCTTGAATTATCACAGGGAATGTTTAAACGGAGGGTTCAGTTCTGTTTGTGCAGCGGTGTGATGTGGAGTCAGGCTCTGCCTTTGAAGTGTGCAGGGATGCCATTGAAGGCTATGACTAAGTTGTTTTGAGCAGGATCCATTTCTGGCTCTCAGAGTGTGTGTCTTTGATTTGGACTAAAGAGAGTTGTGCGCGAGCGTGTATATGGAAGTAGTTGTGTAGGTGCCTCAAAGCGGTTTAAAACATGATGAAATGGATCAGATGTACACCTGCTGCCACTCTGTCAGGTTGTGTTTGAGTTCAATTTTTGTTTTTTCTTCTACACCTACACTCAACATTTTGTAATCACAGACCTCTCTCTTTGTTTCTCTGCCTCAGGTACTACTTCAAGAAGGCCAGTGATGAGTTTGAGTGTGGTGCCGTGTTTGAGGAGGTGTGGGAGGATGCCACTGTGTTGCCCATGTATGAGGGCAAGGTCCTGGGCAAGGTGGAGAGGATGGACTAAAAGCCACTTTGCTGCCAACCAACCAACGCCCTTTCCTGCCCAACCAAAAGCTAAACTGACCCTAAAAAAACTTGAGCAAACGACTCTATAATTAACAAAACCATTCAGGATTCCTTTTTGGTTTTGTTTTTTTTTTTGTTTTTTTTCTATTTCTTAATATTAAGCTAAACAGAGTTAATATATCCAGCACAGAGGATGATTGAAGGAAGATGAGCCAATGAAGTATGCCGAATCCAGAGGAGGTGCCGCCCCTCCCTGACTTTCTCAACCAATCAGCCTTAGCTACACAAGGGAATGAGACAAAAAGACTTTAAAAGACCAAGATAGGATGATCGTGATGATTGGAGGCCTGCGGGGGTGGGTGTGGAGACCTCGTTTCTTCCTGAATATAACCACTGAAGATGTAGATGACTGTTTTGTTGTGATGTGATGAGAGACTGATGGTGAGTCCACACCGGCCTCCCGACCGAGGGCAACCAACTGGCAGTGCCACCAACCTGCTCTTAAACTGGCAGTCCAACATCGTTACAAAACATCCGTACGTGTGCATATACATACATGCATATTATGTATATATACATGTATTATACAGTATATATAGATTCTCTTTGTCTTGAGTTGAGAGTTTTTATTAAATATTTATTGAAACAGACAACCCACTCCTTTGCCCGTTCTCCCTTCCCAAGTTTCATTAAACCTGTGTCCCTCCTCCTCCCTATGTCCAGCCCATGGGCAAGCTGCTTTGAAAGTTGGGAGAATATTGTGGTGATATTATTTAGTGTTTGTTTTTGTTTATTACTTTACACAAAGGATGTGACACTAGCCTAGCACCTCCCATAGCCTTGTTGACTTGTCGACCCAAACTAACACACTTAGCGGTGTGGATTTGTCCGAGGCGCACTCCACTCCCTCCACTATGCTAATAGGTGATCCCAGTCTTATATGCTGCTGGTAGTTTGTAACGTTGAGTTTGTCACACTAGGGTTTCCTTTTCCTCATTCTCTCCCCCTCCCTCTCTTTTCTCTTTCTCTCAGTCCGGCGACAGAGCTCAATCTTTTTTTGCTGTGCCTTTGTTTATAAACCAGGCATTGCATGGGGGGGATGAAAACAGTTGCAGACACACACAGAGAAGACCTGGAGCACAAGTCGTACCATCTAATAATGGTAGTGTTTACAGCCCACACACCAAAATAACTTGCGCTAACAAGAACCGGTTTGGATAACTGAGAACGACTTCTCAAGAAAGTTAGCATGTCAAAAAACACAAAAAATAGAAAAAAGCGAGCGTTGAAGAATCATGGCTGCAATATCCTCTGAATGTTGTTACAGTAACATCGTATATAGCAGAGCTCCTGTATACATTGTAATTATGCATTCTTAAGTGTGGATACTGACACGTGATGCACACATAGACTACACACACATAAATAATACACACATAGAAACACACACGCTGGTGTTTTATGAATACAGCACCTGTGCCTACATGGACGCCATACCATGTGCTACCCTGTTTCAGGGTTTTAATATATATCCCTTGGTTTTCAGAAGGGTTTTATGTTGAAAAGATATTTTTATGCTTTTAATAATATCCTGTAATCATGTTCCTTTTTTGTTTTTACACCATGGCCGCTTTTGTTTTGTTCCATTCTATCTAAACTGTAAATTATACATTATATAAAGAGTTTCATTTAAAGATTTACATGGACCTATAATTATTGTAATTATTGAGAGATGTAGCCTTTATTAAAGTTTTATATTTTTCAAATGAACGCCTTTGTGCCTGGAATTGCTTCTTTCATGTCGTATTGCCTGCACCTTTCGTGTTGTCAGTGATATGCTGTGTTTTCACAGGAAACATCCCAGCACTAGTTGTGCAAATCTGGAAAAGTAAAAATCATGGATTGAACGCAGAGTATTATTTAGTCGATCATGTCCTTAACATCAAACCTCATGCTGGCCTGCTGGTTTACGATGCTACCATTTAATTGGAATATACATTTGAGCATTAGGGCATGACATAGCCCTTCATGCTGGACACAAAGACTTTCAAAAATGATCTCAATAATATCAGACTTTGGTCCTTGTAACATTCCCGTTTAAGGACTAATGTAAAATGTAATGCTATTTACTCATTGAATAGATTATAAAATATACCACATAGTGGAAATGACACTCTACACCATGCTATAGTGAAATGATGCATACAAGTACGCATGTATGGAAGCTATTGTTAAATACTCGCAATAACTCACGGGGGTGACTGGTTCAATGGGTAGAGCAGTCGTCTCCCAACCAGGATTGGGAGTTCAAATCTCGGTGCCTGCAGTCCACATGTCGAAGTGTCCTTGGGCAAGACACTGAATCCCCAAGTTGCCCCAGATGGCTGCTGCAGTCCACATGTCGAAGTGTCCTTGGGCAAGACACTGAATCCCCAAGTTGCCCCAGATGGCTGCCTCGGTTCAGTAGCGGAAACAAATTCCTTGTGAGTAACATACTTGGCCAAATAAAGGTGATTATCCTACATTATCCTGATTATCCTAATTAATCTTGAAAGTTACCGGCCTTCTCTGTAACCTTTATGTCTGCATTAGAAAAGCAGAATAAAAAACCTTCTAGTTGTACTGTGATCACATCACAATGCAGACTGAAGGTGGGGAGACAACTCTTCACTTGAATCAAATCATTAATTACATTAATTCTCGTAGTCACTTCATACAGTCATTATTGTGAGGATTTTTAGCATGATCTATTGCTTCACAAATAACTGAAATCTAAATTCGGTAATGAGAGCTTTTAATTCACAGTGTAAACAGAAATCACTAAAAGCCTCTAACCTTCTGATGCTTCACAGTCCCTCAGTGGTTAAATCTGCAGGATCTATATTCAACACTTAAACGGGAGGCATTAAGCATGGAAACAGGGCTAATTGGTTCTATTAAAGAGCAATGAAGACCAGTGCTACTCTGACAGTCAGCACAAACATTAATGAAGCACCCTGCATCTCCTCTCAGAGGGCCTAACCATGTTTCCCTCAATTATCTGTTTTTTCTTTCAACACTGAGGGTTAAAGAATCATTTAATACCAGGAAATAATTCAATGGTAGGGAGCGCAATGCTCTCTGCTGCCTGCAAACTCACTCACTTGTACAAATTCAATTTGTTGAAATAAAAACAGACTTGCAACAGGCAAAAAGCAGAGGTAGCATGCAACAACAATGACGGCAGTCATTAAAATGATTTTCTCATTTCTTTCTCCTCTGTTACCTGTTCCTACCAGATGAGAAAGCTCCTATAGTCTATGAGAAAATGGAGGTTTTCTGTCTTTCTTAAACCACATATACACTTATGTTAAAAATAAGTTCCTTGACTTAACTGTTTGTATTTTTTGCACAATGAATGTCAGATTAATCTCCCAGAATCTTTTTTATCAAAGGCACAGAGCGAAACCTCAGCACATAACCAGTGCATTACATCCTCTCCAAACCTTAAAAAAGCAGTTTCCCTTTACAGTGAGGAGGGTTTAATCAGGCTGAACCAGGTAGTTTCTGTTGAACTGTCTGGAACGGGGCAGGTGTAACCCTCCACCCTTCTGGCCCCCCACCTTCTCTGCCTCTCCCCAGCTCTATTTTTACAGCCTCTTGGGGCTCTGGCTTTGAAGGGCAACCTATCCAGGAAAATTACTTGCATTTTTCCCCACCAAAGCGTTGACAGATAGACACTGACTGTCGCATTCCCTCTCCTGCACACACCCCAAACCCTAGCTTCGCTCAGCCTTTCAGTGGCATTCCAGTCCTAATAGGTGCTTTGTTGAAGTGCAATGCAGGTTACATACAGCTTCTGAAGTTCCTGCGTTCACGGGGACTTGACTTGCTTTTGATGCTTTTGACTCCTTAAACTTAAATTTTAATTTGAAGCCCACAATTCTTCACAGTCTTTTTATCAATGGAGAACATTTCTGTGGTGTGACTTTGATTTCACTGGCAGCACGCTTTTCTTTCCCACAGCCCCGTTTGCCCCGTATGTTGCATACACCTCCACTTTCATCCCTGTCTTTTCTCCAAACAGTGGCATTCATTTCTCCTTGCACTGTGGTAATTGGCATAGCATGGTTGGGTCTATTGTAAACATGGCTGTGTGTGACTGGTATAAAGAGGCACCAGTCACTCCCAAAGCTAAGCTAGTGTGCGAGGTAGGCTGGGGCTGCTGCCTATTGTGCTGCTGAAGACTTTGTAGATTTACAGCGGGCCCCTTTTAATCGCCTTCTCATACGCCGCCTGCCGACTCACTTTGCATATTTAATTACCAGGTAAAATCATTTTGTTGACAATCCATTTAATTGTTTGATTGTACAGTAACCGTAAAAAGTGAGCGAAGGGAAGAGGAAGGGATAAAGGGGGGTAGAAAGAGACAGAGAGAGAGAGCAGCAGGCAGCGGAGAAAGAAAGAGGTCTGTTGCCAGAATAGACATCAAAGCTGTGCCTTGATGTTGATGTTGAATGGGCATTAATGGTTTCTGAAGGCAAGAGATTGCACAGGAAAAAAAGAGAGAACAGAAAAAATAAACCCTCCTTTTTCTCTGACAATCCCACCAGAAATCTCAGGAAATGCATAAAACTGTGTAGCTCGGTGCCAGATAGGCGCGTGGAACAGAGAGAAGGAAAGTGTGAATGAAAAAAGCTAGTTGGATTGTTCACATTACTTTTCCCATAATGACAGAATGGCATCTAATGGAGAGGAGACGTGTCAAATGGACTGACTGGAGGCTGGCAGCGACTCTGAGGCTATTGCCATGTGAAATCTTTCGGTCAGTAGATCAGATGATTCAGATCGATGCCTGTTAATTCATAAGAAGTCAGACGAACCTCAAAGAACAATATATCCTCTGTACAAGTCTCATCCTCACAACTAAAATTGTGGTATGTGCTGATTTTGCAAAGGTGTAATCTTCTGAGGAAGAACTGTGCAGAGCTTAAACTTCTTTTGATCCAAATACTGGATGGATGGGAACTGAGGTTACACTGCATCCAAGTCATGTTTTATTAACACAGCTTCACAGTAATGGTACACCTAAACCTGCATTAATTGATTTTTATAGTCCACTTAGGAGCGGGATAACAAGCAGTTACCACAACACTGACATATCATTACATTATTAAGTCACTGCACTTGTTAGCAAATTGCTTATTCTTACCAAACATACTATACCTAACTTGTAGCCCTAGTCAGTTCCTGTCTTTTGCTGCCGCTGCTCAGCTATGTGTTTCTTCTTTCTGCTACACTTGAGGACAGCAGGTAACACATACCGGACACATGATGACAAGATGTCAGGGTCCAGTAGCCAAGGACTTCACATAGAAAGCAACAGGTGTGGGTGTTTTGACACCCATCATACGCTGTCAGCTACATTGCCTTGAGATGCGAACTGCTTGCGTCCCAAAGGAGATGATTACAAAGTAGGCTTCACCATGCACCGCTTATAATTGTTTGCTGCTGCTGATGCTTCAGGGGCAAAAAAGGAAAAGTAGCTCAGTTAAACATCAGCACTTCAAGTAACAAACAAAAAACACACGTGATCAAACACAGTCCTGCATCAAGTGCAGGTGTCTGTGGTACAGTATGTGCTCTCCTTTTAGTCCTACTCTGATCTTACTCCTGGGGAAACACTTCACTATCACCAGCTAACTTCGCCACTGATTTTATGTGCTGTTTGTTGCTGCGCAGGTAGCATACAGTCAGTTTATCTGAGGCGTTTCACTGTAAACAGCTGCCTCCTTCAGTCAAAACTAGCACTGATGAGGGTGGGGAGACTGAAACAAAACAGTAAAGTTGTGAACTACAAAACCAGAACACCGAGCTGAGAGATGATACAACACTCAGAGTTGAGATGAGCTTGTTGGTGGTAATGTCGTCAGAGCAACACCCTTTCACATTACACACTGTTCAAATGGGTTATGGGTTGTAGTAGAGTTAGAGAGTGCTTACACTACAAATAGTATAATATCTAATCCTGAACTGGATTTTGTATTCCTTTTTATTTGTAATTATTCATGAAATTACACTGAGATACAATTTTGGACTTAGAAATAACTTTTTGTCTAAGCATACCAAACAACACCAACCATGTCTCCTAATACATGTACCTATTATTATATGTTCTTAATATAGAAACATTTTACACCAGAGACTCAAAGAAACATTTATGTAACTGAAATGATCTGATAACATGCACATGAATGAGTTGATATCAGTATCCAAAACACACAAAGTGCAATATGAGAGTCCCTCCACAAGCTGGATTGATACTGTATATGATCCTGCATTTGCATTTTTGAAGCAAACCCCAGACACGGGATGCTGTCCCCTCTCCTGTCACCACACACCTCAGAGTTGTCTTGTGTTTCATGATGTGTGCGGTGGGGCTTGGCATTTGCGTGTGAACGGTCCAAACTAGGGGCTTTAACTGCAGCTTACCTCTGAAACTCATCCAAAACCACCTTGATCCTCTTTCGGCTGGCACTGCTTGAGATCTCTCTCTCTATCTATCTCTCCTCCAGTCTGGCTGTCTGTGGCTCTCACCCACTCTTTCTTGCTGTTGTGTTGTCAACTTCACTTATCTCTCCAGCTTCCCTGAACTATTTTGTTTCTCTGTCATTCTGCTGTGAGGGTGACGTGGATGTGGGTGTGAGGGTGTTGAGGGGGT